GAGGTCAGAGGGCCGGCGGCTCGGCCTGCCCCCGGCACTCCGGGAGGCCGAGGCAGGTGGACTGCCTGCGCCCGTGGTCGGAGGCCCGCCTGGGCAACTTGGCGAGCCCGCACGTCTGCACAACATCAAAAACCGGCCGGGCGTGGCAGCGCGCCCGTAGTCCCGGCCCCCTGGAAGGCTGAGGCGGGAGCATGGCTGGGCCCCGCAGGTCCGGGCTGCGGCGGCTGGGAGTGGCCGCTGCACTCCAGTCGGGGCAGCGGAGTGAGACTCCGACTCAAAAAAAAAAAAGACTGGCAGTAGTGGAAAAAGTAAAAAAATTTAAAAACTTTAAAAAAGAAGGTAAGAGGATTACCGGCTCTAGGATCTTTGGCCGCTGAAAGCTGTGAGAACGAGCCGCGACACCCGCAAAGCCTGCAGAAAGCACAGAACCCTGGGGACACAGCCGGATTACTTCTGAATCAAAGTGAGAAAATAGTATTTTATGACGCCACGTGGCTGCAGAGAAGTCTGCACGGAAAGCAACGGCAAAAACCCGAGGATAGAGGCTGAGGAGGGCAGGGGGAGGGGAGGAGAGGGAGAGATCAGTTCAGGGACTCGTGTCTCCCACACCATCCGACCACAGCATGGGCCATGAGTCATTACTACGCACCCATGAATATGTACAATTAGTCAAGTAAAAAAAGTAAGCAAAGAACGAAAACGCAAGAACAAAACAGCCCCATGAGTATCCAGGAGGATGAAGCACACAACTTCCGCCGGAGGACAGGCTGGAGGAGGGGGCTGAGGTCACTGCAGGGATATGAGGGGAGACAGACCAAGCTGGCTTGACGCTTCCAAGATGCACGCGGTCGGTCCCAGCATTCGAAACGTGGCCGGCCTCCACACAGGATTCCAAATATGCTGGAAAGAGGTGAACCAGGCTTAGCCTTCCTACTTACAACTGTATAACCTGGAGAAAGTTATCTGAAACACCCCTGAGGCTCAGAGAGTAATACCTGCTTCACGAAGTCATGACAATTAAATGGTATAATGTACGTAACGTGCTTAACACAGTAATGTCCGATATACCTTTTGGGTTGTTTTTGCTGTTGCTGACGTGGTCCTCTAAAGAAATTGTAACCTGGCACACAAAGGACAAGACCGGTTAGTTCCAATGACCTGTGGGAAAAGCAGCTGTGCTTGGTAGAAGAAACAAAGGGTCTCAGAATGCCCTCACTGAGCTGGCCAGTTTTACTCAGATAAAAGTAAACATTAAATGGTTCGTGTGTGGTGGCTCACACTTGTAATCCCAACACTTTGGGAGGCCGGAATGGGAGGATCACTTGACACTAGTTCAAGATCAAGCCAGGCAACATAGCAAGAAACCCATCTCCACAAAAATTAAAGCCTAAAAAAATGTTGTGAGTGGTTTACCAAATGCTGCTTTGTCTCAGGTGTTTTCTGTCTTATCTACCTGTTAGACTGCAAGCTCGTGAGGAACAAGCCGCTGGTCTTGCGTGTGCCCCCACAAGGCCTCGGAAGTATTCGCCCCTCAGAATCTAGGCTGAGTGATTATCCATCTAGAAATAAGGTACAACAACGCTCCACACCTCAGTTTTGGTTGGTCCTACAGGCTATATTGAACACGCTCTCTCTCCTTTCGCTGAATAAGCTTATTGTCAGTTTTCTAAACGATGTTTAGGTTTCATTAGATGTCACATTTAGATTTAAGATTAGGAGCCAACGAAAAGGAGAAAAGGCGAAAAAAATTCCATGGACCGCCTCATTCCTGGCTCCTCCCACCACTGACTGCCCCACCCCCACCCCCTTATTAAAGGCTCTGGAATACCGAGCCAGCATTTACATAATAAACCAAGCACACAACACAAAGTGTTTCCCACACCCTCAGAACGCCCTTTCGGCCCCATTCCTGGCTCCAAAGACAGATTCTCTTCCAACAAAAATTGTGCTTCATGTTGTCCCTAACTCACCATGGGACCCAAACCTGATCCAGGTGTTCACCTGGCGGCCAATGCTGCCCTCCTGAAAGGCCAACGGGGCACAGTCAGACAAGCCCAGGGATCACGGCTCTTGCCCGGAGTGCGGCCCTCAACCTCCCTGTCGGGCAGCTTCCTCAAGAAACCCGAGTCAACCTCGTGGGATTAGGGTGAGCATGCAACTAGCTAGCATAAGAAAACAGGATAGCCTGTCATCCCTGCACACGGGGAGGCCGAGGCGAGTAGACTGCCTGAGCCCAGGGCTCAAGACCCATCCCGGCAACTTGGCGCGACCTCGTCTCTACAATAAAACATCCAAAATTAGCTGGGCGTGGTAGCGCACAACTGCAGTTCCAGCTCTGTGGAAGGCTGAGGTGGAAGGATCGCCGGAGCCCAGCAGGTTGATGCTGGGGTAGCCATGAGCGTGCCACTGCGCTCCAGCCTGGCCGACGCCGTGAGACTCTGACTCCAAAAGAAAAGAAAAGAAAAAAACAGGATACACATAGTTGCTGCAGTTGCTTAAAAACGGCCTTTGTTGTCAGTATTCTGCATCATCAGTCCTCCCTCGTAAAGGAAAATGCCTCCTGCTCTTTGGCCAGCCCTGTCACGCAGCCCGGTCGCTCCCCTGGCTCACCAGTGACGATCCAGCCTCCAGCCTGGCGGTCCGGGCCCTCACGGGCATCGATTCAGGCACGAGACTCACACACTCCCTTGCATCCCAGCTCCGGAGGGCTCAAGCCTGCGCGTGGGATCCCAGGTGCTGGACCCACCGTCCTCGGGCACTTCTGGCTGCGAGAGCCTCCGCCTCCCACGGCCAGCCCCTCCCGGGACCCTGGACCTTGCCACAGCTATTCCGCCCGGAAGCCTTCACACTGCCCGTCTCGTGCCGCAGGGCTGTGGCCTCCAGGCCTGATCTCCACGCACCCCCACAGTCGCCTCAGTTTCCCCCCACTTACCAGCCTCCCGCGAGCCCCGCTTCCTTCGCCCAGGAACGCACGGCAGATGAACCCCGCCACTCGCTCCCGGGCTCTGCAGCGCCCCTGCCTGCCTGCTTCTCCCCACGTGCCAGACAACAGCCCCCTCCATAAAGCCGCACAGGACTCGGCGGAAAACGGCAAAGCATCCACACCAACACCAGACCCCACACTTCGCTTCCCCAGGGGACAGCCACGCGCCTTGCTGACGCTTCATCTGGTCCCTGGTCAGGCCTCGGGGCTCCTCCTCTCCTCAACAACTCCTCCACATGTTCGACTCTGCTTAAGGCCCCCCCTACTGCTTGTGACCTGAATGATCGCCTGTATGCTGATGGCTTTCACAGTTTTCATTTCTGCCATGCATGTCTCCTTCTGGTGCAGACACCTGCCAAATGCCTGCTAAATACGTCTGCCTGTCCATACGTGGCCCTCTCAAACTCTCAGAACGCGCGCTCTCTCTCTCTCTCACCCACCCTGCTTCTCTCTCGGGATGACCATCCTACAAAATCACCCCCCCCATGACTTCCATCTCCCAGTACTGGGATCTTTGCACAATCTTCCTCTGTCGTACCACAGCTGGTCCGTGGAACCCATAAAACACAGCAAAGGTGATGACACGTCACTCTGTGATTATGCTCCAAAGAGACACGGCTTCCGTCTCGGTTTCTCTCCCTCCCTCCCTCCTCTCAGATCACTCAATACGGAGAGACCCATACAATGAGCAATTGAATTCTCCCAAAAATGGTCACAAGAGTGAATCCAAAAGTGGAACTTCCTGGTGAACTTTTCAGAGACTGTATCGCTGGGCTGCAGCCTCCTGAAACACCCTGAGCCAGAACCCTTCAGTTAAGCGACACCTGGATTCCTGAACCTCAGAAACTGAATCGGATAATACATGTTTGCTGTTTCAAGCTGCTAAATCTGGGGGTAATCTGTTACTCAGCAGCAGATAAGTAATGCATGTTCCCATATTCCTATCTTAGTTGACAACATCCATCTGGTCACTCATTCGCTCTCTCATTCCTTCAACACACACCTGTGTACCTGCTATGTCAACAGAGACTGTTATCTCAAACTTCTCCTCCAACTTGTCACAAAGTCCTGCCAAATGTATCTGCAGGATGTTTCTCAAATCTCCTTCTCAGAGCTGAGACTTCTCCAATCTCCTGTCTCTCTGCCACCACTGTCCTAATTCATGCCCTCATAATTTCTCACCGGTCCGATGACAATAGCCTCCAAATTATCTTCCTTAATTCCCATCTGTCCCTGTCGAAGGTGATCAATTTAAGTCACAGAAAAGCAGCCACACATGAAAGTTAGGGTGGCAGGACCAGGAGGAAGTTCTCTTGGGGCCTGATGAGCCCAGCACCTTTGCACACAAGTAACTAAAGCCTGGCCGCCTTGATAGCTTCGGCAAAACAGAAAATGGTGTACCTACCCAGTGTGTCCAGAGAATGAGGAAAGGACACGCTTGTCCACGGTGGGCAGTGCAGAGAAACAGCAGCATCACACAGTGCAGCAACGCTGGGGATGGGACAGA